TGGACCACCAAAAGAATAAACTAAATTTGTGTTGGAATAAGTACAGCCAGAATGCTCCTTGGAAGCCGGGTTGGCCAGACTTTGTCTCTCATACTTCAGACAAATTATCAGGAGGGATTAGTCCCTAGAGGACATAATGCTTGGAAAAGTGGAGGGTCAGAAAAAAAGAGGAAGATCCCCAATGTGATGGGCAGGCACCATGGCAGCAGCAATGGGCTCAAGCATAGCAATGATTTTGAGGTTGGCACAGGACCAGGCAGTGTTTCATTATGTTGTACATAAGGTTGTTATGAGTCAGTGCCAACTCAATGGCACCTACTAACAACATTCTTTAATTTTGAGTGAGAGCAATGATGATTCAGGGTAAGCACTGCTTACCACAGTGTGGCAGCTGAAATTCACCAACTGCTCCTCTGGGGAAAGATGAGACTTTGTTCCTTTCAGGATTCATAACCTTGTTTCCGAGGCCCTTGCCTGTCCAGCAGCCTGTGGTACTCCATCCTGTGTAGTCTCTGGGTCAGCCACTGGGCATAGTACCCAATGTCTGGAGGTGGAGGTGCATGAACCAGTCCTGAACTATGCTACAGTGAACAGAGAACTGTGTTCACATTTCCAGTCTCTATCACATCCACCAGGAGACAGTTGGTGAAGTGCCTGAAAGTCGTCAATTAAACATAGAACACCACCACAATTTCAGCTTACAAGAAGAAACAAGACAGTGCCTCAAACAAGTGTGCCTCAAAATATGGAGTCAGAAAATATGCCTGAAATAGTATGGGAACTACTTGATAAGGAACTTTAAAAAAGGGCTTCCGAGGAGTGGCTGGTGGGTTTGAACTACCAACCTTGTGGTTAGGATCGCAGTACTTGACCTATAGCACCACAAGATTAGGTGTGGATTCAGATTAATATTAAGACTTCAGAAATAGATAGTACATTGAAAGGGGAAAGAATATGAATCAGTGGAAGGCTGAATTAATGAGCTTGAAGACAAATCTCTCAATATTCATCTGCTAGAGGAATAATCTGGTAGCGTAGTGGTTACGAATCAGGCTGCGAACCTTAAGGTCAGCAGTTCGAAACTACCAGCCGCTCCGCGGGAGAAAGAAGAGGCTTTCTACTCCCGTAAAGATTTACACCCTCGGAAACCCTGTACAGGGTCGCTATGGGTCGGAACTGACTTGACAACACTTAACAACAACAACAACAGAGGAATAATCAGGAAAAAGGGAAAAATCTGAAGAAAGCCTAAGATTTGTGTAGGACACTACCAGAAAGAATAACTTATATGTGACTGGAATTCCAGAACAGGAAGAGACAAAAACAAAATAAACGTAGTGAAAATTATCCGAATTATTGGCAGAAAATTTCCCCAACATCATGAAAGATGAAAAGATAGCCATGCAAGAAGTTAAAAGAACTCCAAGAAGGCTAGACTCAAAGAGAAAATCACCATACATGTTATAATGAAACTTTTCAAAACCAAACACAAGGTAAGAATCCCAAGAGCAGCTTGGGAAAAATGAAAAGTTACCTACAGGAGAACTAATAAGATTTCTCAGCAGAAACCACACAGGCAAGCAGACAATGGGATGACATACATAAAATTGTGAAGGAAAAAAATTTCCTATCAAGAATCATATACCCAGCAAAATTGTCCATCGAATATGACAGCAAAATGAGGACATTTCCAGATAAACAGAAATTAAAAGAATTTGTTAAAAATCAGATCGCTCCTACAAAAAATACTAAGGGGAATTTTTTGCACAAAGAACCAACAACAGCGGACAGCGCCCTGAGTTTAACATACATGACAGTATCACCCAGAACTCAACCCAGATGTAGAAGTATTCAAAGTAAAATAAACCTTTCAGACTGAAGAGAGAACCAGAAGTACCAGTTTGCAACAACATCAAGTAAAAAGAGGGAATAAATGACATTACAGAACTTCCAAATGAAGAGGAAATCAAGTCGATTTCAAGGGGGAAAAACCACCTAACTGAAGCCCTAAAACTCGACCAAGAGTTGCTCCTAGCCCTAGTCCAACCATTACCCCTAGCACTAATGCTAGTCCTAACCCTAACCCTAACATTAGAAAGTTCCAGGCCTAGCCTAGATGTAGTTAAAGTACTAATCCTAATTCCTACCTGCTCCCCAAATATTTATAGCCTTGGAAACTTCATAATACAGGGTCACTATGAGTCAGAATTGACATGATGGATGGCAGTAGGGTTGGCTTTTAAGCAAGTGACCAGGTTTGATTCCTGGCCATTACACTTCATGTATACCTCCCACCGTTTTGTCAGTTGGAGGCTTACATGTCCTAGGATGCTGAATAGGTTTCAGTGGTACTTTCAGAGGAAGAAGACTTGGCAATTATTGAACTTTCAAAACTCAGTCCATGAAAACTACGCAGCAGTTGATCATGGTAATGGACCAGACGGGCTTTGATTTTATTGTGCACGGAGCCACCATGAGTTTGGGGCCAGATTGGTGGCAGCTGACAATGATAGTATTCCTTTTCTATTATGAGGTATAAGGTGCCATTTTAGCACTTATGGCTTTACTCGGGTGCATTAATGTGCCAAATTCTACAAACAAGCTTCCTGATGTTGGAACGCCTTAGTACCACAGGTGCAAGACTTCTCATTTATGACTGATTTTTTAAAAGCTGCCACTGGTGTTTTCAGAATGCTTTACCTGGGGGGTTTGTACTTGCATTGGCAGGGGCACCTTCATCAAAAATACCTGTCTCCAGGACTCTTGCTCCCACAGGTCTGGGTGGGTCAGACACTTTCAAGGACCTGGTGCAGGCTCATCTCCCCTCACTGACATCTGAGGTGGGAGTGGGGAGATCCTGGTCCCCCTACTCTTCAGCTTTCCCCCAGGGCACCCTACTCCCCAATCTCTTTCCTTGGTTCTGACTCCAGTCCCCACCCAGCTGTCCTCTTGGATTGGTCAGATGGTGTCCCGGGGAAGGGAGGGTCTTGACTGAGTCCCTGTGCCCATCACTGGGTATGATGCAAGAATGTTTGTTGACTGTTTGAAGGACCCAGTGTCCCAAGAGCTTAATCTAGGACTGGTGCTGGTTTGAGTTTTCCCTGAATTACCTACCACCTTTAATCCCAAGGGCCCAGCACCAATACGCTGCCCTCTGGGGAAACCCTGCTCTCCCCTGCCCCCCAGGACCATGGGACCCTGCCCACCTGCCCTACTCTGACCCCACAAGGTTAAACATATCATATTCAGCTGTGAGTCTCCAGAAGTGGAGGCTTCCTGGACTCTCATGGGGCCTGGTCTCATCCTGTGCAGGCCAGGCACCAAGAGGGGCCTGACCTCCCCAGATGCTCACACTCTCCCTCTCTGTGGCTCCCAGGGATCCCCCAACTTATCCATCCCGAAGGGGACTCTGGGGCAGGGGTCAGACAGAGAGCAGCCCAAGTGGGCTGTGGCAGGCCTTTATTTGAGCTTGGGCATGACACGGATGAAGAGGATCATGCTGATGAAGATGAAGCAGACAATGATGAGCATGACCCAGAGCAGCCAGTTGACCGACTTCTGCGTATGCTGCTCCAGCCGCTCCGACTCCGTCTTTAGCGTCTCCAGGTTCTGGTCGGCCATTTTCAGAGAGTGGGACAGGGTCTGTGGAGAGGGTGGAGGAGATGGCAACAGGACTGGGGCCACATCTAGCCTCTTTAGACTGTCCTGGGCCAGACATGCACTTCTTGGCCCTTGTCGGTGCTGTGGCCCCTACGGGGAATGCCATTTTTTTATCTTCTACCCGACTTTTATTCATCCACCATACCCATTTGCTGGGAAGGTGTCTGTGAGACCCCAGGGCAGTGGCCCCCACACCTGGTTGTCCTTTTTGATCACGTTCTGAGCAGCCAGAGTGTTAGTCTTCAGGCTCCGGGCGAGGCCTAGCATCTCCTCTGCCAGCTTCTCCTGGAGATTCTGGTGTCGTTGGAGGACAAGGTCTAGTTCAGCTGCCGACTGCTTCTCTTCCACCGGCCTGGGCCCTGCCCCCCTGCTGACACCCCACAAGGATGGGCAGGTGGGCATGAGAGATGGGGTGAAAGAGGAAAGAGTCTACCATGATTGCAATGAGCCCAGAGACCACAGCTCCAGCTACCACCCCCAACTCAGGGCCTTCCTTTTCCCATCTTTGCTTTGCCTTCTGGGAAAAGCATCTCCAGAAAGTGGCTTCTGGTGGGTGTTTTTAGATCTGAGGTACTAGAGTGGCCCCTGGTTCGCCCAGCCTTCTCCACCCCCACATACACTGCTAGGGGTCCACAATACTCACGTTCGCTTCCTTATGTCCAGCTCTGCCATAAAGGGAGAAGAGAGAGGGTTAGTTTTCAGCTTTCCGGCCTCTTGGCCTTTGCCTGTGCTGTGCCCTCTACTTGAGATGCCATTCTCAATCTTGTCTGCTGCCTAGCAGGCTCCTTACAATGCTTCAAGGCCTCAGCTTGAATCGCCCCTCTCTCTGGAAGCATTTTCCACTCCCATTTGGGCTCCCCAATTGTAGCGTGGTGCTGTCTCCTCCAGGGACCACTTTTTTTGCCTCAGACCCTCACTCCAGGCCTGACTAAATGATGCCCCTAGAACACTATTTCTGAATGGGGGAAATCTCTGTGGGAACCAAGCTGGGCCCCGGGGATGGATGATAATAGGGTCTTGCCCCAGGAGGTTGGGCCTTGAATCCTGTTCTGTTCAGGGTGACACACCTTCGGTAGAGTCCTGTGGGAAAAAGGGAGAGACAGAAAGTCATCCACTCTTGTCCTTTCTGATCTCAGAACCCACTAAACCTCAGTCAGGGATCTGGGCAAGCCTTATGACCTCTAAACCTTCTCATCTATAAGCTATACATCTCCAACTTTGTGTGAAATGCTCAGAATGGCACTTGTGTCCATCTTGTGAGAAGTAGAAAGCCAACAGTTAAGCTCTGCTCTGGCTAACTCAGGGGCTTAACTGGGACATGGAATTTTCATCTTCTTCAAACCCCTATTCATCCAGCAAAGCCCCATCCACAATGTCTTGCTGCTGGCCCCAGAGAAGAGGCTGATGGATGCTCTAGGGTCCCCACAACTGGCACTGCTTGTCATTCTGGATCTCCCAGTCTGAAGAACTCCCAGGGACCTAAAAGAGGACTTACCAGGCCTAGCAGTTCACTCCTCATCTCGCTGGTGTACCTTGCCCGTGACTGTAGATGCACTGTCTTTGTGGCAGGCACTCGTTCCCGGGCTGTGGTTGGCACACGGCCGGGGGCTAGGAATTGGTTGGCTAGTGCCTTCTCCGAGGATGAGGTCTTCAGAGACATAGGAAAAAGTGTCACAGAGAGCTGTCTCCCAGAGACCCAGGGGAGCGTAACAGGGACCACCAAGGGAGCCCCCAGCTAACCAGTTTCTCTGCCTGTAGCATCCCCTTCAGAAAGTCCACCTTGCGAGAATATTCATTGATCACCTCGGAAGCTGGTTTACTGGAAGGAACCAAGAGGTCAAAGAAAACCTGCTTCTCTAGTCCCCAGTCCCAGAAGAGGATTCCAGTTGGCTCTCCAGGGCCCTCCAATCCTTGGGTTTGAAACTCCTGTGAGTTGCCTGTACTCACCTCACCTGGGCCTTCAAGGCCTGCAGCATGTCCTCCAGGGCCCTCACGTACTGGGGAGATAAAGTGGGATGTCAAATGCCCCCACATCCAGGTGTTCTTGTAGGAGTTAGAAACAGAGTAGAGGGCGAGCACAGGGAGGAGCCAAAAGCATGGAGGCGTGGCCAAAGGCGGTTTCTCAGACACGGGGGCAGGATTACGTGGTGGAAGGGGGACCGGAAGGGGCGGGTCCAACGAGGAAATTGGGGCGGAGGATTCGGGCCGGGTGGCCTGCTATTTAGGACACCGGCTCCCGGGAGTTGGGATTTATGTAGTAGCACTGTGGGCCTCTCACCTTCTCCAGGCGCCACTCTTCTGGATCCCGCTTCTCCGCCGCCATCGCCTCGCATCGGCACAGCAGCCGGACCAGATTCAGCTCTAGTCTCGACGCCATCATCACCGAGCTATGCCCCGCCTTTTCCGCTGGGGCCATCTTAAAGAAGGGCGGAAGTTCCTTCATGTAATCAGCCGGTGCTCGTTGGCTGGCCCATGTTTGTTTGGGGCGGAAGTAATTTATTTAGAGGGATGCCATCCCATCCATATTTACTCAGGGCCGAATTGCTTACTTGAGCTCTTCCCGGAGTTTGGAGGGAACCGGTCCTCCAGGGTGAGGTTCGAGTGCAATGCGTTCTCTGCTCTTTCGGTTCCCTCAGCTCAAAATGCTGTCCCCACACCCACTCATATCCATCTCCGTCTCCGGGCAGCCTGCCTTCTTGTTGATGGGCCCTAGCATTGGATTTTGGAATCTAAGGGATCCTTGCGTTTTTTTATTATCTGCTAGACGAGCCCATCTGTACTTTTGACCACTTCGTCCTGCGAGTCCCCAGGCCTAAAGAACCACCTCTGGGCTGAACGGGGTGTGGAGGGGGCTTCCCAACACTGGTGGGACAGGTGTTCTTACAAAATACTGAGAGGGAGTGACTTAACTCAGTAGGGAAAGAACGGAGTTTCAGAGTTAGACAGGGAAGCTTCCGCTTTCCCCCTCCCATCCCAGCCTCCTCTTCCGGCTGTGTGGCCTCGGCTGAGGCGTGGAGCCCAGGGGTGTGTCTACCACATCTGGAAAGAACGGGAGCCTTAACTCTGCAGAGCCACTTGGAGGAGCCAAGGACCTAAGCCGGCACACAGCCAAGTTGGCTAGATGCGAAGTTTTCCTCGCCCGTTGGGTTCAGTGCGCACCCTTCCCCCACTCCACCCAGCAGTTGTAGCCTGCGAACCCCTCTGCAGTGTGGTGGCTCCTGGCATCGCGGGGCCCACCAGGAACTGGCTTCTCCGAGTGGTTGGCGAACCCTACAGAAGACATTTAGGGCAGCAAGCCTGGCACCTTGCTCTTCAGGTGTTCTCTGCTACATTGATACCCACTCCCACTGAAAACCAAGGCTGTCCTCCCACGACTGGCATCCCTCTTCAGCCCACCATCCCTCCAGGAGTCACAGGCAAACAGCTCAGGCACTTTGTCTTTATTTCACTTGTTCAGGTGTTTGGGGGGGCGGGGAAGGGGGACCTGAACCTGGAAGAGTAAGTCCCACTCCCCAAGTCCCCCAGTATGACATTGTTGACTGTCAGGGATGTGAAACCACAGGACTCGCCTGGAGGGGTTTCTCGTGGTAGGCAGCTCCAGTTGTGCCACAGTGGCAGAGAGCAAGAGAGGGCTATGTCCAGGGATGTTGGGCAGAGAGATCTTGACCACATTTGTCCCACCGGGACCTGACTCCGGGGGAGGCGAAGTCGGGTGGTGTGGGAGACGGGGGCCACCTCTGCCTGGCGTCCTGGATGCTATAGGATTCCCCCCTGACCCCCACAATGACGCACGGCGCCGCGGGGCGGGGCACATCCACAAGGGCCTCAGTATCACCAGATGCCCCAAGTGTCCACGTCCTGGGGCAGGCCTGCTGACCTCCAATCTGGCCCCAGCAAGGGCTTATGATTCCGCAGTGTGACTTGAGTCCCTACCGTCTACTTCATGGACGACTTGCATCCAAGTTAAAGGAAGATGCGTGGGGTTAACATACAAGTTTTTACAGAAACATGTATTTATAGAAAAAACAAAAACAAAACCCCAAATAACAATACGAAAAAACGATTTGGTCTCCTGTTAAGGCTGTTAACAGTTTCTAGTTATGTAAACCACATACAAAGAAAGTTACCGTCAAGTCAAAAGGTACAAAGGGTAAGCGCTATGCGGGGACCTGCAAGGCAGCCATAGCAGGTGGGTGAGGCTAAGGTAGCCGCCAGGCTGCTCCCTGCTAGTCCTGCTCTGCGAGGGGCACATCTAGCCCCATGCGCTCACTGAGCTCTTCTGGATCCTTCTAGAAAGCCGATGCTGGTGCTGGAGCGAGGGGCGTGGGCCTGGCTCCTGCATGTCTTATAGGCCCAATGGATCCAAACTCTGTGGACTGGTTTGTCCCAGGACACTTGGGTTTGGCCAGCTGCAGCCCTCAACCATTGGCCTGGTCTGGGGCGCGGGGCAGGCAGTATGTTGGAGGGTCAGAGTACCTCCGTTTGGCGCTGGGGGGCTGTTTCTCCTCGTCCAGGGTCTCGAGGGCTGCCTGCATAGGCAGCTCAGCACCAGGCGCCACGTACACCGAGTGCACCAGATCTGGGCGGCGGGCAGGTGGCTCACGGCGCCTCACGGGAACCCCAGACTCATGGGTCTGGGGTGCCCAGCCACACAGGTGGGCTGGCAGACCGGGCGGCAGCTTGATATTGGCCATGGGCATGACAGGTGTGCGCCGGGGGGTCTTCACTCGGACCGTCACGAAGGACGACGGCCTGCGTCGTGGAGGGGCTGCCACCTCGGCCACCACGGGGAGGGGGCTCGGGGTGGGTGTGCCAGGGTGGGGGACACCAGGCACAGGGGGCCCTTGGGAGACAGACGGCAGGGTCAGCGCAGCTCCACTGCAGTCCCACCTCTCCCAGGGAAGACAGGAAGGAAAAAAGCACACACTACCTTAATACTGACCTTCCGAGGCCCCCCGCCCGGCCCACTCCTCCAGCAGGCTCTCTGTGCTAGCCGAAGTCTCCGAGTCCAGGTTTTCTTCATCTGAGCCACGTGGGTCCAGCTCTGGAAGGCGGTAGGTGATGTCCTCCCTAGGGGCACGATGAGGGGCCACAGTTCAAGGCCTGGCCTGCTCTTGAGTGAAGATATGCCCTTACTTTCCCCCTCTAATCCTGTGCCCACACCACAGGGCCTTTGTCTGTGTTGTCCCTCTGCCCCTTTCCAAGTCCAGAGTTTCTGCCTGTTGCCCTGGCATCACTTTTGTGTGTTTGTGTGTGTTTTCATTTTACAACCATGTTACACGGAAGTATATACTTTGCCTAAACATTCAAACTGGTTTATGGTGAAGCTCAGGGGAGATAAAACAGAAACCAAACCAGCTGCTTTAAACTTTGGCTCAAGGTAACCCTGTGGGTGTCAGAGAAATGCCCCAAAGGGTTTAATAGCTGTGATCTTATGAACCCAGATCATCAGGGCTTTCTTCTACAGGATGGAACATTTTAATTAGCAGTAGCCAAGCACTTAACCATATGCCAGGGCCTATGAATCCTGGTCTCTCCCTTGTCCTGGCTGTGCTAGGATATGACTTTTGAGGTTCTCTCCCCTATTCTTTGGTAACCCACTTTAGCTAATGTGTAATGTAAGTGCTTTTGTTACCTCTTTGAAAAGGATGCAAACTTAAGGTGTAAACTCAAGGACCCAAGGTGTTAATTCAAGGATCACAGCCACCTCTCTTAATTGTAACTTCAGCTCAGTCTCCTCAAGAGTTTTCTTCGCTGGAATTTTCATGGAAGTACATTACCAGGCTTTTCTTACATGGTGCCTCTGGGTGGGTTTGAACCCCAATCTCCTTAGCAGCCAAGCACTTAACTGTTGGCCTCACCTGGGGTCTCCTCTTACCCCTTAATTTGGGTGCCAATCTGCAGGCCTAGCTGAGATTGACTTAAGGAAAAGTCTGGGCCCTGCCCATCAACCCTGCTCTTCACGTGGGCCTCCCCTGGCCCTTGGATGGCGCTAGCCATCAGCCACCCTGGTGACCACAGGACACTTGCTTCTCCTCCTTGATGGACTGAATGCGCTCCATGAGGATCTCCTTCTCACGGTCCTCATCGTCCGCAGCCACTGCTGCCACTTCCTCCGGCAGCACCCCTAGCTCCTCCAGACCGCCACTGCTCGCCCGGGCTTTGGGGCTCTTGTTCTGGAAGAGGTGTTGTACTTAGTTGCAATCAAGTCTATTCTGACTCATGATGAACCCAAGTGTGCACAGTGAAACTTCCATAGGGTTTTCACGGATGTAACCGTTTGGGAGATCACCAGGAATTTCTTCCACGGCACCACTGGGTGGGTTTAAGCTGCCAACCTTTGGGCTAGTAGTTGCGTGCTTAACCATTTGCAAATTGGCTAGGGCATCAGCTGGTGGGGTTAGTGCCACAGGTGGCTAGAGAGGGGTATGAGTGGCTGGTGGGGTTAGTTGTGATGTGGGGAGGGCTGAGTGCCCCTTCTACAGGCATGGGAGGGGCTGCTCCTGCATGCACTTCCGGAAGGGTAGGGTGCAGTCTAGTCTACAAGGACCCCAGGGTTTAAGGGGAGCTCAGCTTGCGCTGCACATAGGGAGGCATGCACGCGGTCTCCGCTCGTACATACCAGGACCCCCTCGTAGGGAGACGAGAACCCCAGTTTGAGAAGCCATGGCTGGGGGAGAGATGAAGGCAGGGTGACTACAGGGCAGGAGGCGAGGATAAGCCAGCTTCCCGGACAGGTAGGGCATTTTCACCCTCCTTCCCCTGCTAGTGGGGCTCAGTCAATAAAACTGGACTGATGTGATGAATCTAGCCAAAAAAGGGAGTGTCCCACTGCCCTTGAGAAGGAGTTTAGGTATAACTGGATGGGGATTGATGGACAGAAGTGGGATTCGAGGTTCCCAATCAGGCAGCCTTCCACCCTCACAGCCCAGGGCTCTCCAGACCCCTGACCAGGTTCCCTGACCACTGCTCAGTCCCGACTCCGTCTCCAGCACCCTGTCACAACCCAACCCACAGCCCCTGATCTCCCCACCCCCCGGTCCTTTTACATCCACTCCAGTTCCTTTTCTCCCTTGGCCCACCCTCAACCTCCGGCTTCACCCATTCCTCCAACTGTAGCCCCTGAGCCCAGCCAGCCCTGCGTACAGTGTTTTGCCGCAGCAGCGAGAGTCGGCGGAAGGCGATGCTCTCGGCAGCCTCCAGCTGGTTGATCTCCTCCATCTTCACCTTGTATTTTCGCATCTGCTCTTTGATCAGCATCTCTACGCACCTGCACACAAGGCCATGATAGGGACTTGGTCATAGCCAAGGCCGTGCAGAGAAGGGACGTGGCCTAGAGATCCTGGTTCCCCTAAGTCCCTGCAAGTGAGGTGCAACCACAAAGCTACAACCCGGGGACTTCTGTCTTGTGGTCATTCCCAGCGGATGGCTCATGGAGTCCAGGGTAGGTGGGCACTCACGTGGTGATCTTCAGCACGTCCTTTACACTGGTCAGCGGGTCTGAGGTATCGGGGCAGCGCAGCAGGCAGGGTGCAAAGATGATGGCCAAGGCACTGGGTGACATGCGGTTCACATCCTCGAGGAGGGCCACCCTGCGGGGATGGACGGCATGAAGGTGGCACCACAGGGCCCAGGAAGCCCACTGTGACACAAACCCTGGGGTCAGTCACCCTCAGAAAAGGACTGCCTACAGTCTAGATGTGGGGAATGCTCAAAGGCCGCAGGCGCCCCCTCCCCAATATGGCCCTGTACAGACCACCCAGGATAGGGGTGAGGACACTTGCTTGACAAGGTGGAAGATGAGTCGCTCTAGGGAGTTGTGGTTGGCTTCAGGCAGATGGTCCAGGACGGCGTAGATGGCAGTCAGCTGTTCCAGCCGCTCGGGGAGCTCTGTGTGTGTGCGGTGGGGGGGGGGAGGGATGCAGGAAGGAAGGCTTAGTCCCCCGTAGACCCTCACAAGTCCCCTTTAAACCCAACTCAACCAGCCCCGCCTTCCCAAACTCAGCTGATCACCAGTCCCAGCTGGCAGCCCCGACTCAGGGGGACGCACCGACTGCGTGGAGGAAGTCATTGTACTGGGCGAAGGTCATGAGGGGCTCAGGCAGCTCACGCAGCCATTGCTTCAGGACCCCCGTGATGGCATGAATGGGGTAGTTCTCCAGCTTGACTGCTGTGGGGTCTGCAGGGGAGGGAGGCCGACTTGACTGAATAGGACACCTCCATACCGACCTGTCCGCAGTGCTCGTTGCCCACCCACTCACAGCACCCACCTGTCTGTAGCGCCTGCCGGAGCTCCCGCTGGCGGTTGGCAGTGCCTGACTTGCGGTAGAGGCCCTCGGTGTACAGGCCGTGCATCTCCACGTGTTCCAGAAGTTTCTCCAGCACGATGGGCACCGAGGCCTTGTCGCTGGTCAGGCTGTCGACACACACTCCGAAGTGGCCGGGCTCTGCACCAGGCTCTACCTGCAAGGCAGGGCAGGGTAAGGGCAGGACGGGTCCTCCACAGCCCTCTGCACCCCTCCACACTCCATCCCCCTCCAGCACCTTGTGCAAACTTCCAGGTCCCCACTTCAGTGACCCACCCCAGGGCACCCCTGGAAGAAGAATCATCAATAGGTGATGAGATGTACGTTTTGGCAGGTTTGTCGAGAGGGGCAGATGGATGTGGAGGGGCAGCTAAAGTGGGGAGAGGCAGCTAGAGGAGCAGCCCAGCCCTTCTCCACATGTCTACAGGGCCTCTCTGCATAGAATGGGTCCTGTTCTGGAAAGCTCTAGGCCCCTAGCCACCTTACCTTCTGCCCGCACGTGTAGGAGCAATAGGTCTGGATCTTGTGAACACACTTCTTGTGACAGGTCATCTTGCACACTAGGAGGCCATAGAGTGGGTCACAGGTGTTGGGGACCAGGGGTGCAAGTGGGAGTGGGGGGTGGGTCAGCCACGGGCTGAGTGCAAGTGGTGGGGGCCTGGGGGTCAGCTGGGAGTCAGGATGCATGTGTTGAGTTTGGAGGATGATGGGACACGCAGAGGGGGTCAGAGGGCTGATGTCAGAGCAGGTGGCCAAGAACACACAGTGGGGTTCGGAGACATGCACGGGAGATTGGTAGGTATGGTGGGTTAGGGTGCACAACAGGGCTTGGGATATATTGTGGGGAACCTCTGGAGTGGCAGGGAGTTGGGTGCATGTGATGGGGAATCTGGGTGTGTGTGGCGGGGTCAGGGGCAATGGGGTACTCACCGCTGCACAGCAGAGCCTTGTCCATGAGCCAGATGTAGGAGAGGCAGTGTTCGCATGACTGGGGAATGCTCACCTGGTAGCTGGAGAACACATGCCCATTGTGCTGCTGCACCTGGGGGGCGGGAAGGGGAAGGCAGCTGAGAGGGGACCCCTTCTTCCTGCTCCTCCCAGAGCTCCCTGCTCCAGCTTGTACCCTCAGGATCAAGCACTCGGGACTTGGGGCTCAGGCCACTTGGGGCGGACACACACTCACAGCACGCTCCTGTTTCCGCTTCTTCTTCTGAGACTTGCTCTGCTGTGGGGGGAGGGGAAAGGGAGGAGAGGCTCGTCCTGACACACAGCCCAGTAGCAAGGCCCCATCCCCACCTGGAGCTCCCCGCTGGGGAGCACAGGCTGTGAGGGCGTCGGCACCTTGGGGTTCTCGAAGTCGCTCTTGGAGTGCTTCCGGGTGAATTCGTCCAGCAGCAACTGGAAGAGGTTGAGCACCAGGTTGGTATCCTTCTCGCCACGCTCAGCTGCCAGGTTGGTCACCACAATCTGGTAGTTCTCCATCAGGTCCTTGTAGCCCACGTGGATCTTCCCATTCTGGAAGGAGGCACAGGTAGGTGGTGCGTGAACCCGAGGCCGTGGGGTGCTGGGCAAAAGGGGGCTGCAATGTGGCGGAGCCACTCACCGGCACGGAGTACATAGTTTTGAGGTTGCTGCGGAACTTCTCGGTCGCCTCGATGAACAAGCTTTCAGTGGGGGTCTTCTGGGAACGGAGGTCATTGACCTGAGAGGAGGGGATGAGTTGGTCACGTCATGGCTTGCTTGACAGGACCCTAACAGGATCCTGCCCTGTCCAAAGTCCTGCTCAGGATAAAAATCTAGCCCCTCCGGCCCAGCCCAGCCCAGCCCAGCCCAGCCCAGCCCAGCCCAGCATTGATCCCATAAATCCCATTAACTCTGGGATTTAAACTAAGGATGGAGTCACTGAGTGGTGTAAATGATGAGTGTGCTCGGCTGCTAACTGTAAGGTTGGTGGTTCAAGTCTACTCAGAGGTGTCTCAGACGAAAGGCCTGACAAACTCCTTCTAAAGAATCAGCCCCTGAGAACACCGTGGATACACACACAGGGTCAACGTGTATCACAATCAACTCAACAGGTACTGGTCTGCCTTTGGTTTTCTAAGATTACTGACGTTAGGATATCCTCTTTGGTGACGTGTTGGTTGAAGTCCTTTGCCCGTTTTTCCATGGGGTTATCTTTGGTTGTTTAGTTGTAGTTCTTTATATATTCCGGATTATATGAAGATATATGGAGTCCTGGGGGTGTTGCACACGGTTAAGTACTTGGCTGCTAACTGGAAGGTTGTAATCTGAGACTAAGCCGGAGGGGCCAAAAGAAAGGCCTGATAATCAGCTTCCAAAACACTCAGCTGCTGACACCTCTAGGGAGGCCAGCTCTACTTGGGCAGCCCCGGAGTTACGGTGAGCTTGGAGTGGACTTGACAGCAGGTAGCGGGCACTGACACCAGGGCTGGGTTGCTGTCTGTGATGGGGGATGGCCTATGCACTGGAGGATGCTGGGAGGAATCCTCTTGAGCCTCCACCCTCTCAATGTCAGGAGCAGTGCCCCTCGTCCAGATGTGACAACCAAAACATTCCCTAGCTGTTGCCCAGTAACCCCTGAAGGCAGAATCGCCTTCCCAGAATCCCCTGGAGAACCACTTCAGCCCCTACGGTAGTTCACACAGGACCCCTGACCTTCAGTCTCCCTGGACAAGGTCTCTGTCCGGGCTTCAGAGTCTGCTGTACTCCATGAGTGTCCACCTCCACCTGGATGAGGGGCACCTGAGTATTGTTTCCATGGGACGGGCTTATGAGTTTGTGCCCCAGGAAGCTATGTTCAGGTCCTAACTCTGGTATCTGTGAACATGAACTTGTTGAAACAAGTTCTACAGATGTACTGCTGCTATTGGTTAGGAGGCCATGTTGGAGTTGAGTGGGTCCTAAACCTAATCCCTTCTGACAGGTGTCTTTCTAGACAGGGAAAACGGACACTGAAACAGTACAGCTTTTAAAAAGCCAAGGAATGTGCGGGGCTCCACAAGCTGGAAGAGAGCAAGAAAGATGCTTCTTCAGAGCCGGTAAAACACAAGTCCTGAATTCATACTTCCACACTCCAGAACTGTGAGATACTGAACATCTCTTCTCTAGAGCCACCTGTTGGTGGTATCTGGGTTACAGTAGCTATGGCAACTGAGACGAATACTCACTGATACTTTGTAAGGAAATCTAAAAACTCACAGACTGAACTGTTCCTCACAAACTCAGGTCAGGTTTTGCTAAAAGACTGTTTTTTCAGTTGTTGTGGAATTGGCTCTAACTTACGCTGTTAGAAGAACAGGGGGTTTTCAATGGCTGATGTTTCAGAAGAGACTGCCAAGCTTTTCTTCTGAGGTGCTTCTGGGTGGACTAGACAACCTTTTGGCTAGCAGCTGTGTGTAGTGAGTGTACCATCCAGCCAAACTTAAGAACATGTGCTTCGCTTCTAGAACCTTGTGTTGACATTCTAGCTCTGCATTTCCTACTCCTAACGCACTAGGGCCCACCTTCTTGAGCAGGAACTCATCCAGGTACTTTAGCTCGTTGACATTGGTGATGTTGCGGAACACAGACTCCCGCCACTTCTCCGATATCGTGATTTTGCCAATTTTGAGGTTCCGGTTTTTCTTCCCTTTGCCTCCTGGCTCCTTGGTGGGCTTCTCTCCGGTGGGGTGGCGGTGCTGGTGGCTGGAGAGGGCTGTGGGCGGGGAGGAGAGCAGGTGAGGGTGGGACCTGTGTGAGGATGAGGCCAGCCCCCTGGGGACAGGTCCCAAGGCTCTGATCAGTGTCCTTGGGGTCCCTGGAGGCTCTGCACCCGCCTCTGAGGCTGTGGGTGCCTGACCTTCTAGATTCTTCTTGGTGGTGGCAGCTTCCAGCCCAGCATGCCCAGATCCTGTGTTCTCCACCTCCTCCACGCCCTCCAGACTGTACTTCTTATCCTTGTTCTTAGGCCCGAAGAGTCTCTTGAACGCGGACCTGCAGGAGAAGGTGAGAGGTCCTGTTTACCGCTCGGGAAATGGAAGTGGACAGGAGGCCTGGCCTGCCTCTGACCAGCACACTGTGGGCACACGATCTGTTGTTGTTCCGAGCTGGCCCTGACTCAGGGCAACCACATGCACAATGGAATGAAATGCTACCTGGACCTGTCCCACCCCCAAGATCGACTGCAGATTACTGTGTCATAGGGTGTTTACTGGCCTTTCTCCTGGTCTGTCTCAGTCTAGAATCTCCTCTGAAACCTGCTCAGCATCAGAACAACATAGAATGTCCAGTGACAGGTGGGTGGTGGCTGTGTATAAGGTGCATTAGCTGGGGCTCAAAGCTGGGTTTCCCGCAAGGAAGGAGAGAATTCTACCACAGAGCCACCAGGCCCAAAGGAATGCTTGTTGTTGTGAAGTGCCGTCAAGTCGGTTCCGACCCACAGCAACCCTGTATAGGGTTTCCGAGGAGCAGCTGGTGAGCTTGAACTGCTGACCTTGCAGTTTAAATGGCTTTGCAGTCTGGTGCATTAACCCACATCTACTACCCTAAAATGCCTAAACCCACTGGCTTTGAATCCACGCTGACACACAGAGACCCTCGAGGTCAGAGTAGAACTGCCCCATGGGGTTTCCAAAGTTGTAAATCTACAGGAGCAGAAGGACACTACTTTCCCATGAACAGCTGGTGTGTTCAAGCCACCGACCTTAACCACCGCACCACCAGGGCCCCTCTGACTGCTCAACAGTTATCCTAGAAAACAGAAAGCACTGACTGCCTTGCTAGCGAGAGTACAAGTCTGTCTTCATTATTTGACAGATTGGAATGCGACTAAAAAGAAAGTGGATTTGTAGGAACTGACGGGAGTCACTGGAAGTTACAGCACGCTCCATTTTCACACAAAGACGATTAAACTACCTGCTGCCTCCTCCCATGTTCCTACAGCATTATAAGTGCTGGCAAAGATACTGAATGTAAAGGAAACCAAAGTCCCAAAGAAACTAGTCTATCAAGGCTAATCGCCTACACGAGCCACAGTCTCCTCCACCTGAGACGGGAAGAACTAGATCGTGCCCAGCGACCACTACCAATGTTCTGATCAGGACCTTGATCGAATGGGAGAAAAACTCAGAACAGAACTCAAATCCCAAAAAAGTCCAGACTTACTGGATGAGTTGAGACCAGAGGACCCCAAGACTACTGCCCTGAGAAGATTCTTTTAACTTGGAACCAAAAATATCCCCTGTGGTCACTTTTCCACAAAATAACAAAGAATATTACCCATGAATATGGGGCTCTATTAAAAAACCAGCTCTATGAGACCAAAAGGTCAGCCATTACACAAAAGCAAAGATGACAAGATAGTGTGTGTGTTGGGGGGAAACAGGGTGGGGAGGGCAGGGGGCCCTAGAGTCCTGAAAACACAACCAGAATGCCAAGAAAAGAGAAGGGTGAGCCGTTGAAAAAAATCAGAACATAATTTTCTGGGTAAACTTTCACTGAAAACACACAAAGATATTAAAAAAGATATACTGTGGACTGCTGCCGGAAGAGTAAGCCCATTTAAGAAACACACCAGAGCATTCCTGAGAAATGAGGAAGGCGAGACTGGCTTAGTTTGGAGACATGGAGACCAAGAGACTTGGTAACAGGGACTTTGTAGGCACAGTTAGCTAAGAATCTCAAGAAGAGATCATTCTAGGTGAGCTGGATGGATTTTAGCATCCAATGACAAGTCCTTCTAAGAGGAGACAGACACAAGCAGAGGAGGTCATGTGATAACAGGGACAGGGATTTGAGTGAGTTAGCTATGAGACCAGGAGCACCCAGAGTCTGAGATGCTGGGGGAGCCTACAGAGGGAACCGGGCCTGTTGGCACGTGGACTGCACACTTCTGGCCTCAGGACAGGGAAATGAATGTCTTATTTTCAGGTCCCCAGTTTGTGGTCATTAGTTACAGCGGCCCCAGGATATTCACAAGGGGACCCTCACTTTCCTGGCACACCCGTTCCTGTGTCTGAATTTTCCTCTGGGAACCTGTGTCACATTTGTAACCCGGAGAATACGAGGAAGGTGAGCCCAGAATAAGGCGTCTGAGGGCACTTGGGACTGCTTCCCTGTGTCCAGCTGCCTGCACTGGGGGAGGGGAGGGGCTGGGCTGGTTTCGGGGTGGCTAGGACCATGACTGGAGGCGGCTGTCAGTTGATGACTAATTTGAGGAGCTGCCAGGGTGCCCTGCTCAGCTACTTCCTGTGTTCTTCATCTGGGGGCAGTAGGACTCCTTGCGAGCCTGGGGTAAGGAGGTCACTGCTAGGGTAGATGTCACCGCCCTGGGCACTGCTGTGGCAGCCACATGAGCCCCCTTGTGACCATCCCAGGAGCAGCACTTAGGGTGCCCCCTCAGTCTCTAGCCTTGACTTCATGCACAATACTAAGACGGGCTGGGTCTTTTAAGGTGTTACTAACTTCTGCATCCTTGGTGAAGGATATGGATGTTTACCCCTGTCCCTCTCCTTGCCAGCCTGTTACCCCTGGGACCAGGAGACCAAGGTAGTTGGGAGACCGTCCTCACTTACATTCTGAATCAGAGATCACGGTCCCATGTTCTCTTCTCAGCTCTGTGACGGAACCCTATGGGACATTTCTACAGGGGCTTCCTGGTTCAAGGACCCAGCCTTGAACCACCATTTTCTGAGGGCCCAAGAGGGAACCAACCACAAGGGTACAGACAGGGAGACTGGAAGCTGGCTTTGATTCCATAAAGAGTCAAACTGAACCTGCCTGTCTGGGGCCTGCAGACGGTGAAGGTGCTTGCTGTGAGGGCCGAGTCCACCTGCAGGTGTTTGTTTTGAAAACATCAACCACTGAAAACCCTGTAAGCATAATTTTACTCTGACATGGGGTCACCAGCAGTTGGGGTCGACTTGGTGGCAACTGTTTTTAATCATTCACAGTGGAAATTGGATAAAAACCCTTCCTATAACCCTTGCCAGGAGCTCTAGTGGTGTAGTGGTTTCAAGTTGGGCTGCTAAGGTCAGCAGTTCAAAGCTACCAGTTGTTGGGTGAGAGAGGCTTTCTGCTCTTGTAATGATTTACAGCCTTGGAAACCCTCTATGCAGGGTTGCTATGAGTTGGAACCTACTCCTCGGCACATAACTACCACCACCACACCTCTTGCCAAAAAACAATATCTGCTGCCTATGGGGTTGCTATAAATTGGAACCGACTTCAGTGGCAGCGGGCTTCAGTTTCACACCTATTGGCTTCTATAAACATTTATAGCCTTGGAAACCGGAGGTTGTTGTTAAGTGCCAATGAGTCAGTTCCTACTCACAGTGATCCTGTATAGGGTTTCCTAGGAGCAGCTGGTGAGTTTGAACTGCTGACCTTGTGGTTCAGGGCATTAACACGCAGTGCCGCAGCAGGACTCTCTCTAGGGGCAGTTAGTTGTACTGTCCTGTAGTTGCTATGAATTAGAATCGACGCATCCGACAGGTCTGGGGATTGGTTTGGTGGACCTATTGGAAGTTCTAGGTGGTGCACATAATGAAGCACTTAGCTGGTAACTGAAAGGTCGGAGGTGAAAATCCACTTGGAAGAAAAGCCTGGTGATCGGCTTTACACAAAACCACCGAGACTCTCTGGAGCACATTTCTCTTGATACTTAGGGGGTTCCTATGAGTCGGGAGTCAACTCGACAGTAAATGAGGAGGCCCCAACAAAATTAGGTCTCGGCTGGAGTCACTTCACCGGACACGGTCATGTCAGGTGGTCACAGTCCACTGTGGGGACTGGCCCTGTCCCCCCATCCTATGACAGCCCTCCCCACGCCAGCCCAGCCGTGTCTGTCACACTCACTTGGAGTCAACCTGGAGGCCTGGGGACAGCCCCAGGTCTGTGACGCAGCCCAAGTCACTTGACTTCTTCTTCTGGACCAATGGCTTCTTGGAGCTGGGGTCCCCATCCACAGATTCTGTCGAGGACTGTAAGGGGAGGTCAGCAGAGGGAAAGCCAGAGCCCACCACAGCCCCCTCCCACCCCCCGGCTCCCAAACGGTACCCCCTGCAGGACTATGTGGGCTGTGAGGGGACATGACAGAAACCCCAGAATGTGCGCCACGCTGGGCATCATACCTGGGTCCTGGGAGGACACAGGAGTCTGGAGACGTCACTTGTGGATAAGGAAATCTGCCTCTCCCTGTAAACCACAGAAATGGGCTTAAGTTTACAGAAGCAAGTCTGAAGGTGGCGCTTCTTACTCAGAGTGTCTCTGCTCCCTGGACGGTATTTCTGAGGGTCATGATAGGAGAGCTGCTGGCAGTGAGTGGGAGAGACTAATGCCCTATGTGCACAGGGCACCCCACAACCACAGAGAATGTTCCGGCATCAAATATCGACACCATCAGTTATCTGGAAAGAAAGCACCAGCTGGATCCCTACCTCACACTGGGTAGAATGGTTTTCACTCTTTCTGACTGCCCTCCTCTCCACTCAGTGTGTAGATGGAAATGTGTGTAGAGCCGTCCTAAGGCTTCAGTTCAGATGCTCATGGAAAAGTCTCTTAGGGGTCAGTGGAACCCCCTAACCCAGAGGTGCTGACTAAGGGCAACTTTGACCTGTAGGGACACTTGGCAATGTCTGGAGATATTTACGGTCATCATGACTAAGGGGGTTGTTACAAGCATCAAGTGGGTGGAGGCCAGGGATGCTGCTCAACACTAGAGCATACAGACGACCCTCAGCACAGAGAATGATCTGGAACCAAATGTTAGCAGTGCTGAGGTGAGAAACACTGTCTTCCTGAAAGGTCTGCATGGTTGCTCTGTTGTTTTTTTGTCCAAGGAGGGTCTCTGGGACAGAGGGCTGGAAACCTGGTATTCTACTTGTATGTCTTATAGAACGTGGCCCCTTCGTAGTGTAATCAGCACCCCACCCCCTCCCCCCACTGGTTGGGGAGTCCCTGGGCGGTGGAAACAGTGAATGTGCCTGACTGCTAACTGAAGGGTTAGAGCTTTGAACCCACTCATAGGGGTAGTCCTGATGTGGCACTGTAGGAATAAGCACTGGACTGCTAACCACAGGGTTGCCAGTTCAAACCCACCAGTCACTCTGTGGAAACCCTATATAAGATTGCTGTGAGTCGGAACCAACTTGACGGCACTTAAAACCAACACAGAACAACAACATAGGTCCCTCAGAAGAGAGGTCTGACACCTAGTTCTGGAAGATGAGCCATTAAAACCTCTCGGAGCCTAGTTCTACTCTGACACACGTGTTGTGTGTCGACAACTGAGCCTGGGGACCTGGGGGGCTGGGGGTTACTGTGTGAGTATGGTCCACGTCCATGGGGGCTCAGGGTCCTGGTTAGGGCTTTCTTTTTTTTGAGTTTCTCAGCTGCCCCATCTCACCCCCTCTTCCTTGGGGTGCCCACACTCCTGGTGGAGTCTGAGTGTGGATCTGCTTTAGGATTTTGGGCTGGACCAAGACTCAGACATGGGTGGACCCCAGGCTTACTCTGTGGGCGTGAGGGCAGGCCGGTACGGCTCACTGAGGTCCAGCGACTGGCTGAGCATAGAGCAGGGTGCGGCAGCCATGAACTTCTTGCCCCGCCATATCTCCACGGCGATGGCCAGGCGCTCGGAGTCGGTGTCGCGGTACCGCTGGATCTGGGCTGAGCTGCCAGGGCTCTCGGGCCGGTCCCGGGAGCTGGTGCTTGACCTGCTCCTGTCTTTTAGGGTTTCTGGGACACTAGTTCTGCTGTCCAGGGTCAGGCTGGTGGGCCTTTCTGTGCGACTGGGCCTTGGGCTCCCCTCCTGGGCATTCCCAGAAGTCTCGCTGGCTGTGGTAGCTGGTAAAACCTCCACGGGCTGCTTTGAAGGAGATGAGCACTTGACCTCCAGTTCTGTGTTCAAGGAGGTGCCCTCTTCCCTGTTCTCCTTCTGGTCTTCCAAAAGATTCTCCTCCAGCTCTGGGCCTGCCCTTCCATAAGCATCTCGGAGGACCCCCTCTTCCTTATATGACTGCATGTGCTTGTTCTGGAATTTCACATGCTCCAGGCCCCTCTGCCGTCGAGACTCGCGCTTCTCGCGGCTGCTGGGGGCTTTCTCGTGACTTTCGGCAGACAGTTTCTGGGATGGGGTGGGCTTCTCCACGACTGGGGTCTCTGTCTCTGGGAGGGAGCTCGCTGTGGGGGACTCATCACTTGGCTGAGGCTCTGACACATCCAGGGAACTGGGAGCCTCAGACACAGTCTGTGTAGGCATCTGCTCCCCAGTGGTCTCCATCATGGCTTCCCCTGTGGTGACCTGTGTCTCCCTCTCCTCCTCCTCTGCCTTCCGCTTCTCTGAGACCATCTGGCTGAAGCTGTGGGAGAAGAAAAGAGAAAATCCAACTGAAGACACAAACATCCACCCACCTCCAAGACCAGCCTGGGTGCTGGGGATCTGGAGGGAGGGGATACGGCAGTGCCCTTCACTGCTGCTCTGGGTCTGGCCTACTCACTGTTCGGGAAGGACCCGAGTTACCGCTGCTCTGGAATGGGGTCCTGTGGGATTCTGTTTGGGGCTACATCTTTGGTGAGCTCCCTGGGAAGGGTCCTTGTGTGTGTGCTCAGCACTAGAGCTGGTCTCTGGTTTGTGGTGGAGTCCTGGGTCTGCATGTTGGCAAGGGTCACAGGGTGATCTGGAGGGGAGCAGGGTCAGGGGCAGGGCTGGATGCTTGTGGATGCCCTGCAGGACAGTAGGCACCCTACTGTCCACCTGGTGGAGTCTCAGAACCTAGTGAATGCCCAGGGCTAAGTGAGTGTGTGTATGTGGGGAATCTGGGGGTTCCTGCCTTCGTCCTTGAATTCAGGTGTGGTGCTGACTGGCAAATGTCTGGTTCCTGGCATTGATGTCCCCTGGCCCTGCTAGTCTTCTGAAGCCTTCAGAATGATCTCCCAGTATCTCAGGCAGCTCTTTGGTTTCTCAGCTTCCAGAACATTCTAGAATGTCCTGGAACAATTTACGTACCTCTTGCGCTGCAGGTGGCCCCGGCAGAGGCTTTGTAGGCGGATGATGCTCTGTCTCCGGTGCTGGTAAGCTGTCCGCTGCCGGTAGCCCCTCCACATGGCCTGAAGGAACATGGCTGCCTGTGTTCTTTCCAACTCCCGCCGGACTCGGTAGGAACGCCAGCAGGCCTGGGGGTGGGGGGTGGGGTGATCAGGGCCAGGTGTTGGTGACCCTGGACGTCCCCACACATGCCCTGGGGTTCTAGAGGACCTGGATGGTGACTGTGGCCTGCTTCATCTGCAGGAAGTGCCTGCGTTCCAAAACCATCCGGAACCAGCTCTGCAACAGCAGGATCTTTCGCACCACCTCCCGGTGCAGGGTCTCTTGCAGGGCCTGCCGCTCCAGCTCCTTCAGAAACACCTGGCCGGAGAGGGGCAGCAGGTGGAGATGGTCAGCTGCATGGCCCCAGGGCCTACCCCTAATCCCTTTGTATAAACCATCCCAGGAAAGAGACCCAACAGCTGGCCTGCTGACTGACCATCGGGGCCTTTGTTGGTTCTAAATTTATGGAGGTGAAATTTACATAAGATAAAATGAACCATTTAAAAAAGCACAGTTCAGTGGCATTTAATCCATACATAATGTTTGAAACCATCACCTCGAACTCTAGAACATTCTCATCATCTGAAATGAAAATCCCGCACCCACTGGCAATCAGCCTTCCTTCCCCAGCCCTGTTGTTATTAGCTGCTCCCTACTGGCCTCTGTTGTAGCTTTCCTTGTGGCGAGCTGTGCCCACAAGCCCTGTTGTTAGGTGCTGGTAGCGTAGTGGGTTATGAGCTGGGCTGCTAACCACAAGGTCAGTAGTTTGATTTACTAGTTGCTCTGTAGGAGAAAGATGAAGCTTTTTGCTCCTGTAAAGATACATAGCCTCGGAAACCCAAGACAGGGTCACTGTGAGTCAGAATCAGCTTGACAGCACTTAACAAACAAGATGTGTATGATGGTCCCTGTCCTAGGTGAGAGGACACAGGAAAGAAAGTAGTTGAGTCAGGTTGTCTGAGTCCCACCGGAGATTCTGGCCAGGGTCTCCAGAGGCCCAAGTCCCCATCCTGTAGTCCCACTTCCTACACAAAGCAACTTATTCTGAAGTGTGGCTTGGTAATTTAGGGCCAGGAAGAAACCTGTGTGTGGCCAAGAGGACCACAGGCCCCAAGTTTGCAGCTATGCAGCGGCGTCAGTACTGACCTTGGTTTTCCCGATCTGATAGTTCTTCTTGTCTACAGCCATCTTCTCCAGCAATGTCGAGATGACCTCCCTGCAAGGTGGCGCGTTCTTGGCCAACAGTACCTGGAACTGCTCCGTGAAGTCCTGGGGGGTTGGGACAAGGGGGTGTTTCCAACACCAAGGAGCCAAGACTTCGGCTTCCTTGAATGTTAGTGCTTTTTGAACAAATCAAATGATTTAGGTGTCCAGAAATCTGCACCATCCAAAGGTAACCTTAAACACAGAATCGCAGAATTTTCTTTACATTCAAGTATCCACTGATGCCTGGCTGGACCTGGCACCATTCTGGGGGCCCAGGAGATGGGATATGCCGGGAGCTCTGGATCTATGTCTTGTTTGAGGGCTCCACTACAAGTGGGGGTACATGCCCCCCCTTTTTTAACAACAAAAAAACCCCCTCCATATCAAATAGATGTCATATCATACAGACTGTCCCTTTTTTTCCCCGTAATCAATTTGCCCTTTTTCAGGTGTACAATTGAGCCGTATCAGTTACACTGGTCATGTTATACAATGGCCACTGATAATTGTCACTGTATTTTCCATCGCCATAAACACAAACTGCTTCCTAAATGAAGGTTTCCCTCTTTCCCCCTCCCTCCTGCTCCTGGAATCCACTAATAAACTTTGGTCTCCAGACGTGTGCCTATCCTAGATATTTCACACAAATGACTATTTTGTACACCAGTATTTCTGTATCTGACTTACTGCACTCCGCATAATGCTTTAAACGTTCATCCCTGTTGTAGTGTGTGCTACAACTTCACTCCTTTGTATGTTGTTGTTGTTAAGTACCATGAAGTCAGTTCCGACTCATAGTGACCATGTACAAGGTTTCCGAGGCTGTAAATCTTTACCGGAGCAGAACGCCGCATCTTTCTCCCACAAACTGCTGGTAGTTTCGAACTGCTGACCTTGAGGTTGGCAGCCCGACTTGTAACCACTACGCTACCAGAGCTCCTCCTCCTTTGTATGGATGAATCTTATTCCACCTGGGTTGCTTAAAATTGTATTTAAAAAGAAATCTTACTGTGATAAATGCCATAAAGCAGGTAAACATCACAAAGTATCAGGTCAGAGACAGAGAAAGACCTTGAAGACACAGACTGACAAAGTGGCTCCAATATCACAGCAACTGTGAGGACAGCACAGGACCGGGCAGAGCTTTCACCTGTTGGACTTTGGGTTGCTCTGAGTTGGAACTGACTCCAAAGTCCCTGTGATGGTTAAGGCTTGGAGTCAGTTAGGCTGGGCCTGGATGCTCAGTGCTTTGGCAGCTATGATGCAGTGATCCCCCATGAGGACCTCTGGTTTAATAAACCACCTTCTCCATGACGTAATCTGATGTAATTACACTTCATGTTGTAAATTCTTGCTTCTATGATGTTAATGAGGAAGGATGCAATTCGTGGGGTTAGCTTGTATCTTGAGACAATCTCTTTTGAGATATGAAAGGGATCAAACCGGCAAACAGAGCTCAAAGGGACCAACTACCACCAAGAAAGAAGAGCCAAGAGTGGAGTATGTCCTTTGGACCTGGGATCCCTGTACTGGGAAGCTCCTAGATCCAGGCAAGGATTGATGCCTAAACCCAAGGAGACCTCCATTGGATGCTGGGCCTACAGGCGCTGAAAGGGGACAAGGCCCTTTCTCCAGAGCCAGAGAAGTCTAGCCTCCTAAACTGTGAGGGAATAAATAAATGTCTGTTAAAGCCAGGAAAGTGAGGCACCACAGGAGGCACTCACTCATCTCTGCCAAGAAATTTGGAAGACAACTGTCTGGCCGACTGATTGGAAGAGATCAATGTTTGTGCCCATTCCAAAGAGAG